TTTCCACACTAAACCCCCTCCCACCCACCCACTGGGCACCGAAACAGCTATACTTCTGCCCCTCCCAGACCTTACACAGACTCACACACGCCCCCAGCACAAAGCATTGCACTAATCTCATTACACTCCTTCAGTTCCCAAACATGCACACGCACCTCTTTCGAAAACAAAATATCTTTTCATCACTGAAAAATGACCGAGTTGGGAGCAGTCGGTCATTTTACAACCCTCTGCTCACTGTTGCAAAAAACAAGTGTGTAGAAATGAAGAGACAACCATTTGAGCCAGACAGGGGTGTTTTAAAATAAAAAAAACAAAAAACTATAAGGTTATGAGGATGAAATATTAATGGGAGAAGTCTTTTCAGTCTTAAATTTGCAATTTCAGTGGACTCAAGGGAATCAGCCTTTTTCAGCCTCAGGAATGCTGAAATTTGTAGGGGTGTTGATGAAGTTGGAGGGACACCCCAGAGTTCTATGAGGGGACCTGAGTCTAGGAGTCCACCAGGTAGACAGAGTGGAGCTTGACCTAGCCACAAGCTTCCCCTGACAGGGCCTCGAGAAGCCCAGTGGGACAACCCCCTTCCTGCCTGGTGCAGCTCCCGGTAGAAGGAAGCCCTCAACTTAGGCAGATGGAGGAAGGGCGCCTCGGAGGAGCCTTCGGCCCAAGCCGCTTCCCCCTCTCAGGCAAGATAGCCCCAGAGTTCTTTCTCCGATCCTCAGGGACAGAGGCTGCTCTGAACTGACTTCCCGGAAAGACCCCCCCCCCCCGCTCCAGACATCAGTGCCCCCTGGAATATTTGGAGAGGGGTCTAAGTCCCAAAGGCCCCCCCCCATCCCAAGGCCTGAATACACTTAGGAGTACCAGGACCAGACTGTTTCTGACTCTGATTATTTAAATTATTTTTTCATAAATATTTCTGCCCGTTGCAGAGCAGAAATGGGCGGTGTAGTGTTGAGTTTGCGGTTTGAGGTCAGGCACGCTGAGGCTTTTAAAAGGTTGGATCCAAGACCCCAAAATGAGAGCACCCTGACAAAGGGGGAAGGGAAAGGTAGCTGAAGAAGGAATCCCTAGGTGCAAAAGGGAAGATCGGATTACACTCTCTGACCCTGAGCGCGGCGGCTCCCCTAAATGACCATCCCAGTAGAGACGTGGCCCTCCTTCCTCCACCCCGGGATGGATGGCGCGGAGCAGGACCCGGGCTGGGAGCTGTCCGCTCCCGGGTGCTGACGCTCGTCCAGCCTTGCGCTTTCTTCCTGCCCCAGAGGGAGGCCGAGCTTCCCTGGCTCCGGGAAGTGCCGCGCAGCGTGAGGCCCTTCCCAATGCCTGGCCTGCCGGAATTCTGGGCGGAACTCTCCTACAGTTTTCGGAGAATTTCACTGGAATCCTTTCCAAATTTCACCGCGTTCTCTGGAATTCTCGTAGGATCGCTTCTCTAGCGTGAGCTTTAGAACTGGGCCTTTCGTTCTGAGGATTCGCCCCTGTCGGTGGTCTAAGGGGGGGGGCTCTTATAGACCTCTAAATCACCCCTATTCTTAGGAGAAAGAAATCGGCCCACCTTCAATCTCCCTCACTTCTTGCATGGAGTATGGACCAAGGTGAGAACCTCAGACCCAAATCTGAAGGAGTCAGGTCTGCTCATGGCATGGGTCATGGCCTGGCAGGGGCAACTGGAGAGAAAAGGAACTCAGTACACATCCTGAGGCCTGAGTCTTATCCTGCCCTAAGAGCAAGGTTAATTGGGATTCCCTCCCATTCAGATGGTTTCCCAGAACGCCCTCTGAAGTCCCGGGCTGGGTGGCATCCAAGTGGCTTGGGGCCCGACGCAAAAGACCCCTCCACGTGGCTCCCCAGGCCAAACCATAGACTCCTGCTCTTTGCTCTTCCACGCGGCTCGGTTCTGTTTTTGAAGCCAGATCCCAGCCCTTTCCAAGGATGCTGACGACTCTTGGGCCGCTGCGTCTGTGGTCACTTCGGGCGGATGGAGTGCCCGGGGCCCCTTTTGGGGCGGGGATCCCTAGCGCCTCTGCATCTTGTGAAACCGGCGTCCTCGTGAGCCGCCCTTTTCCCAATTCCTGACCCTTCCCCCACCTCTCTGCACTCCTGCTGCGCTCTATTCTCCCATCGCCCCCCTCCCCAACACTCAACTTCCCTGGCGAGATGGCGAGGTGAGCAGGAGAAGATGCGCGCGGACACACGGCCCCAAACTCCCCCTCACAGGTCTTTTTCTCTCGCTGCTCTCCCACTTCTGCGCGCACACACGGAGAAGCTCCAGGAACATAAGGAGGTGTGTTTTGGGGGGCGGGGAGGGAAAAAGGGGCCAGAGCGGTGGGAGGGAGAGGGCAAGGGGAGAAGTCGCATGCCCTTCTTGCCCGAGCCTGAGCAACGGGATCTCCAAGCAGGAACCAGCCGTCTCAGCTCAACCCCTGGGCTGCCAAACCGAAGGCTGGAGCCGAGATCAATCCGGAGGGCATCCTCCTCTTGATTTTCCCACCCCCGTTCAAAGTCCAGCGTTTGGAAATGACTGGGAAATAGAGATATCTCTGAGTCCAGGCCATTTGTACATCAGGGGAAAGAGAGGGAAAGCACCACCTATTCTCCCCTCTCCGTTTAACCCTATTTCAGCCAGGATCTCCCCCCAGTGAACCTCCAGTGAACCCTCAGCTCTGATTTCATCACCCAGAGGGACAGCTCCATAAATCACTGAGTACAATCCAGGGAAACTGAGCCCCATTGGAGTCAGCGACAGGGAAGTCCTGACGCACCCTAGACGCCACTGTCTTGTGTTTACTTCTCTCTTTTTCCCTTTTATGGGAAAGTCCACAAGATGGGAGATGCAAGGATTCCCCCTCAGAGGTCAGAGGTTTCATTCCCTCTCGGGCAACCTTTTCTTCCTCCTCTTCCCCAAAATCTCTAACCTAAAGTTACCTGCTCCTTGGAGGAATGTGTTGATTTGAGGGAACATTGAGACGGAGGGATAGTTCTAGATTCCACAGTTTAATTCTCAAGGAAGACAGGAAGAAAGAGACAGTGGAGGCCAGGCCTGACCAGCCCTGGCCTTGACATCCACTCCCAGGCCCCCCGTGTGGCAACAGGGGTGAGCACAGGATTCCACACCTGACTTGCCCATATGTGCTCAAAGGAGAAAGCTTTTTCTTTTGGTGAGATGTAGGAGGGGGCAGACGGGCCTTGGCTGTCACAACAGGCTTCTCAGCTCACAGCCCAAGACACTGTCACTTTTCTTTCTTTAGGGCTGGGTGCCCAGGCACTGGCCACAGGCCCAGAGGGGAGGTGACGACCTGAGCGGTGAAAAGTCTTGAAAGCCTGTTCCTTTTCCAAATCCTGAAGTGGCTTCTGCCTTTCTATTCCTCATTCTTTTAAAATTCTGGACAAAGTTTTCCTGGTTGAGAAGTGGTAAGAAGGGGCACAGACACCTTGGGAGGGTCGTTATTGCTCTCTGAAATTTTCTCCACCCTAAAGCAATGGGGTAGGAGCACCCCACCCGCTCAGGAGTGCCAGCATGAGAACGCCCAGACCAAGCCTGGGCTCACAAGCAGGAGGGTAACCTGTTTCTGGGGGCAGATGCCAATGAATGGGAACCTCAGCCCCCTAGTGCGGGGAGGGGAAGCTGGGGCACTCGGGGCGGGGGAGAGGGGAAGGGAACCCCTAGATGCTGCCTGTGCCAAAGGAGCTGGGGCACTGCGTTGGGTGGAGACCCTGCCCAGATGTGTGCCTGGGTGTGCTCTGCTGCTGC